GATTAACCCAAGACTTGCAGATACTGGCATTTGGGGTCCCTGCCCAATACTAGGATGAAGCCTACCAGTCAACAAATCCCACCCACGTATATAGTTTCCAATCAATTTGTTGGTGCCAAAGGTCAGGAGACCCTTATGGAAAGCCTTGAGCATGAAATTTAGTCCAAGTAAGCACACAGAACAATAGGAACTTTAAGTAATAGAGACAATGCAGGGAACAAGCGAAAAACAAAACAAAACAAAAAATGACAATAGGCCCCCTCCCACCTCCCCAAAAACCCAATGATTAATATCTGTAATGAGATACATCAGAACAGGGAGCCATAAAAATTTTAGAGAATGAGAAAGAAGTCTTGGGAATTAAAAATATGATAGCAGAAACAACTACTCAGCAGAAGATTTGGAAGACAAAGGTGAAGAGATCTACAGAAAGGACAACAAAAAAATAGGCAAGAAAAGAAAAGAAAATGAGAACATCAGTTTGGGAGTTTTAACATCACAACAATACAAGTTTCAAAAAGAGAGGGCAGAAAAAATGGAGAGGAAATAAAAAATATATAAGAAAATTTCCAAAATGTATACGCATAAGAGTTTCCAGACCAAAATGGCCCTCTAAATATCTTCTACAATATTTACATATCAGCACTGGGGATAAAGAGAAGACTCTACGTATTTCCAGAATGAAAAAAAAAAAAAATAGGTCATATATGAAGGATCAGAAATCAGATTGGCATTGAACTTTGCTACAATAATACTAGAAACTAGAATCTGAAGCAATTTCTTCAAAATTCTTAGGAAAAATCTATAATTCTTAACCCAGCCAAACTGTCAATTCAATGTGAGGAAATAACAAAGACATTTTTCAGACAAGTAGGGCCTAGAAACTTAATGCGTTCTACAGCCTTTGTTTAGAAGCTACTAGAAGATGTGCTTCTGGCAAGTGAGAGAATAAAATAAAAAAAGCAAAATATACAGCATTTAGGAATCAGGGGATGCCAGATAGGAAAAAGGTGAAAAGTACTCCCAGGATGATGCTGAAAGGACATCCTAGGGCAACAGCTGTGCATTAAGCCTAGAGAGCAGTTAGTGAAGAATGGAGCAGGTGACGGCGGAATGCCAGGATGAAACTTTCCTGCATTTAAGGGGCACTACTTTTGGAGTAGGAAAATGTCATGAGAAAAACAATGTTTAAGAAGATGCTCAGTAGCTGCCCTGTGGTCTCAATGAGACCTGACAGGGATACAGATAGTTCAGTGTTGAAAAAAAAAAAAAAATCCATGACCAAGACTCAAGAAATAAGAGTGAACGAATGAATGAATGAATAAGCATCATTTAAAAAGCATTTCAATAATTGGTACTGGGTCACTTATATTTGTACCAAGTCTCTGAAGTAATTTTCTGTGACTTAAGTAATTCCTTATTTTGCCATATCAAACTGAAACATGTCTAGGCTATAAGTAGAAGCAATGAGTTTCTGGGGGAAAAAAATGTAAAAAATGTCTACTTACTTGGCCTAAGTGCAGGATGGCACAAATTCCTATCAGAAATCTACTACTTGCTTTTGTTAGGGGTGGAGTGTCCAGTACAACGTAGAAGCTCTTGGCTTATGGCTGTGCATGGTGGTTTTTCAATTCCTGTATTTCTATGGTAATGCTCTGCTTCAACTTAAAGACAGTGTTCTGAAGTACATGCTAAAGTCAACATGAACACAGAAATGAATACACTTTGCTCTCCTAGAACATGAAATGTCGATGTTTATAAATTTCACGTGAGAATAGAACATGGGGAAAATTTGACACTAGGAGGAAAAATGACCTTGTTGATTTAGAATTTAGATCGGACAGATTGCTTCATAATCAAGTGGAATGTAGTCAGCTAGAGGAGTATGGTTACTTTACCCTGCCCTGTCATCCGAAATAAGATTCATTCTAAACCACATGGAGTGTGCAATTCAGACTGATATGAACCTGGGAGAAAGAGATGAGTTTAAAACTTTAACTTACCCATCTTAGATATTCGCAAAGTTGAGGCAGTTTTTTCAGAGGTCAGGCTGTTAAGAAAATGACAGTCTCACTCAGGCCAAACCACCCTCCCAACCTCATGACTCAGACTCAGCCTTGCAGGATGGCCCCAAGAACACTACAGACTGACAGATGTCTTTGATTCCTCCTGGGTGCATGGACCCTTTGTATCCTCCTCAGTCCACCCAAATCTAGCTTTACATGTTTGGGGGCTGAGCTGGATCTAGGCTGAGGTCTGCATATTCACCTGCCTGCATTTCATCTACTCCAAGACCCTCCAGCATGAGAAGACAGCGGATTAGATGCAGCATCAGATCTAAAGCGAGAGTGCGACAGTTGCTCATGATGTAACACCAGGCAAAACCCTAAAGTTAAATTTGGCTGGTGTCCTCCTTTGTTCTGAATAAAAGGACTGAGAACTTAAACGAAATTTGAAATATAAACCTTCTTCATCCCATTTCACTCCTAATTTTTGTTGGAATACAATTCCAATTTATTTAGGTCACTTATCACTATCACCAAAAATGTAAAACAGAACTTTATCTTAGAAAGGCAGATTTTGGTCCTTTGTGTAATGCAAAATAAGAAAATGCAAATTTCTCTCTAGCTAATATCATGATGAAAACGGGGCAACAGTCCTCAGAGTAAGTCAACTTTTCAAGTAATAGAACCTTCAGATAGGACCTATCTAGTTGCTTTTAGAAACCTCTCTCTGCCAATTTTTGGTAAAAATAAAAATTTTTTATTATATTTCTCTGCAGTAAGGCAGCTGTTTAGTGTCAGGAAGTCTTACTAATGACAATAATCAAATATAATTCTGCATAATTCTGCTTTTCAAAGATAGGATAGTTAGAACAAACATGAAGTGAAATTTTTGCTGTTACTCTAGAATGCTTATGACCAACTCTCTCCTATATGTGTAAAACTGCTTTGTGTTAGAATTAAAACAAACATGACTATTTCACATTTGATTTAGAGGACACCCTTTGAAGAAAGCAATAGTTATGAAAGAAAAGAAGGCATCAGACTTAAAACATGGTCATCTGGAGCAAGAATTTATCCCTGTGGCTAAAACTGTTTGGAAGTCCAAGCTATAACATCTATTTTGGAAATTAGAAGGAACAATTGTATTATTCACTGCATTGAACTCAAGCTATCTTTAATGCCTTTTTTTTTTTTTTTTTGCTACAAACATTATTGAGCATAACGATACATCTCTGAAACCAGATGGCATATGAACTATTTCAACAAAGAGAGAAACAAAGGCAAGAAAATATTTGTGGTCTTTCCAGAAATCTTTCACAATCTTCACATTTTGTGGCAATTACTAGGAAAGCAGCGAGTCTGAAATTACAGCTGAGGCATATAATTACCCATATTTGACCGACTTGTAAACTCTTCTGAGCCAGAAAAATACCAGATAGCTGTATCTACACTTTTGTTTCAAACATACATAGTGAAGTAAAAAATAGTATGTTAGTCATTCAATTGTTTTACTAGCTTTATATCAGGAGGCTCACAGCTGGAGTTTTTCAAATGCTACACACATCATTACATCTAAATAACAAAACGGACCTAAAGAACATTATAAAATGGAGCAGGGCACCTAGCAAAGACATTTTCAGGATTTCAGAATTGAGATGGGGTAGAGTAGTGACCTCCAGCAAAACACAAGGGGAATTTAGATAAAAAACTTAAGTAAATGTACATATTTATGAAGGCATTTCCTCTGAACATCATCAAAAACCTTTACAGGCAAAGTGCATCCTCACATAACCTTGATAAAGAAGAGCCCGTATTCTCCTTCTAGGGAAGCTCCACATCTAGAGGTTAGAAGACACGAACATGGTATACTTCATTAGCAAAGTCTGAGGTTCTGACTGCAATTAATTTATAGTTTCCTTTTGAATAATGAAGCAAATGTGTGTGCTCAGATTTACATGTGACCTATCCAGCCAACCTATTTCATGAAAATCTACACATTTTATCAATCAGTTTAATATGTGCATCATTCTTAAAATTGAATGAAAGAACATCTAATTCCTTGGCACATATGGAAAAGGTTTTTTAAAAAACCCTACATTGATTGCAGTGTTATTCAGAAAGTTTGTGTAATCACAACTTTAGTCAAGTAAGGAAACAGTCCTTCTTGGGTTTGTTGAGAAAATGAACCGTCTGCTTTTACACATGTAACAGAAACCAACTAAAATAAACCTCCCTGTTACTAATGTTCTCACCATTAGGTGATCTATTAGTTTGAATGAAAAACTTGCGCATTCACAGAAAAAATAAATCAATGGTAAAAAATTGGCAAACTAATATATTTCAGCTTGCAGTAGACAGAAATAAATTCTCTAGTAGTAAAAGTTGTCAACACAGTGAAATTCAATAAATACAAATCAGAGAGTCATTTGTTGAGAACAATCATTTTAAAATATTCAAATACAGGAAATAGGCTTGTTTAATAAAAACCCAACTCAGGTCTTACTTGGATAGAAGAGGATAGCAACCACAAAATAGATCATGGTGCAGAAATGTAACTTAAATAAATAGGGGGCTATAAAAGAAGTAGGAATTATACTGGAAATGGCTCTTTTGGCTTCCAACTACAAATAATCTTAGTCATTCTTCATGAAATAATAGCAAGTGATCCTCAGGATGATGTTCTTGTTCTCTAACCTCACCTCCTCAGATGCAAACCCCTCCCCTACAGCTCTCTTCCTCTGGTTTTTCCTTTTCCAGTTATCCCCCGGATAATCTTTTCTAGATTCTTTCCATTGCCTGTGAGGTTCCTTAACTGTTTCAAACCAATATCTCTGCTTCCTCAAACTTTTTCACTGGAAATGCTTTGTCTTAACTGAAATCTGGCTTTCCTTGATGATGTTACTGGCCTCCTCGTGATCGTTCTACGCAAGCAAGGTTCTGCATGCTCCTTGTTTCCCAAAGCTACTCCTCTTAGAACAGTTTTGCCATCATAACTCAATATCTGCTTTTCTTTTGAAGTCTGTGTATTCCACCTATAATCACTCTCTCTTCCCTGCTTGTCACAGAAAACCTTGGTCATTTCTCACTTTTCGCAATGATTTTACTATTTAACATTTCGTTTTCTGCCATCACCTTTGGCCACCATCCTTGTTAACATTACTTCTGACATCTTGACTTCATGGTTCCTTGACCACTTCCTCTACTTCTGTGACCTTAACTTCCACTTAAACTGTCTACCTATATACAGATATATCTAAAATTTTTCTCTCACTTGGAAGAACTTTTTCTTAAGATTTTGGACTTTCAGGAGCATCTCTTTGATCACAAATATCCCTTTCCCTATTTTCCTATCTCATACTCCCCTTTAGTCATTTTCATTCTTGGTATAACTTTCATTTTCTTGACCCCTTCCATTTTTTTCATTCCTTTTTCTTTTCCTTTTAAGCCCTGATATAGCTTAATCTGCTTCCTTTTCTGATCCTACACACTGCTAGGATGATGATTTCAACAATACTTCTCAAGGACCATCAAATTAAATATTATAGCATCTCCATTGTGCCAGTACTGCCAACTACATGTGTCCTTGGTTTCTACCTTCTGAATGCTGCTGATGGTTGAAATAAAGCCATGAACCATGGTCACTGAATCTAGCACAGGTTTTCACTCTTTAATTTCAAACGGGTTCTCACTATTGCTAGGAAATACACACATTCCTTTCTTGATATTCCTTATCATTCTCATAGTTCTCCTCAGCCCTTTTCCTTCTTTGTAATCCCACTGTTACCACAATTATCCTTCCTTTCTTGACAGATGCCTTCCTTGCATAGTTTCCAGACAATATCATCATTTGAACAGGAATCTCGATCTTTCCTTCCTCACATCTTTTCTCCTTCGCCACTGTTTCTGAGGGAAGAGTTTTCATCCTACTTTCTGTGGAAGGCCTTTTATGGATTATGTTACACTTTCCTCTGTGTAACCGAGACGGAAAAAAGAGAAAGAAAGAATTCACTCAAATTAATTAATTTCCTGGAACCCTCAAGAGAGAGGCATTCTTTCCATTTGGGAAATTAACCACTTCAGGGCTTCTCACTGCTTGGAAGAGATGGGCTTTGAGTAATCTTTTGTGGCTCCGTCACCCAGGGGAAGAGGGGTGACAAATTCGTGGGGGGCAAAGCAACAGGATTATACATTAAATGTTGGTCTTTAAAATATTGGGCTTACTTTTGGCTTATATCAATTTATCCTAACACCTGAGATGTGCAAATGGAAGAACAAGAGTTTTGTTTGGGGGAGGAGGGTTGTTAGAAGAGACCGTTTTGGAGGAGCAAAGTCATTTTGGAATACAAGACATTTTCTGGGGAAGGGAGGCTTTCTAGAATGGGTTCTAAAAATTCAGATGGAATCCTGAAGTCATTGGTTTCTAGGGGAAGAGAGGAGTTCCACGAGGGGAGGTGAAAGAATTCGGTGCAGAGCATTCTGCTTCTAACTGTGCTCAGAACTGAGCTTGGTTACTATTAGTTAGTAGGGAACATCCATGATGAGGAGTAAAATGGGTTGAGGTTTAATGGAGGTGGAAGGATGGAAGAGAGAGGGTCCAAAGTACTTACTTCTTTTAAAATAATACTTTGTAATTATAAAAGTAATAAACATTATTGTTAAAAAGTAGGAAAATTGGGAATAGTTAAAAAGAAAATAAAATCTCAAAATCTCACCATTCAAAGGACCATTGGTACCATTTCCTTCTAATATATAATACATATTTTAGTTGGTTAAAGTGTATTATTGATTATTAATTTTTTCACAAAATTGATATTAAACTGCATATATCATTTTGTATGAAGTGTTTTTTTCCCACTCAACACTACATTGTTAATATTTTGACACCAAATTTATAGCATTATCTTTGAGCATACTGTTCATCTGTGGTCCATCTTATTGCTGAGCTTAGCCATGCCCCCTTTAAAAAAAATAAAAGGTTCTATCTGGTAGGGACTGCTTTTTTCAAATTACTTTGTGATTACCAAAGGAGCTCTTATACACACTTAGGCAAGAGAAATTGAAAATGTTGAAGAAATATTGCATCATTATGTATTCTTTCATGTAAATCACCTAAGATTTGAGAGGGACATATGGTATTTCTTATGGATGGTCAAGTACCACTTCAGATGCAGACAGGGTACCTGCAAGTATTTCCAATTATATTTTAGATACCAAATAAGACTACTAATCATAAAAATAAAGACTCAGCTTTCTTCTGGAAATGTAATTAAACATTACAGTCACCAAGAGACTAGCATAGCAAAGCACTATTATCCTAATACCTAAGAATGTGACACTGTGTCAGAGCCAATATTTACATGAAAAATTCATGGGGAAGAATACGTCAAAATGTTATTCCTTAGTTAAAAGTTTCATACTTCAGGAAGTTCCTTGATTGGAGTTTCCATTTCAGGGAGGGGTTGTTTTCAAAGTGATCCAACACCAACACTGTTAACGCAGTCATCATCACATTTTGTTTATGAAGACTCCATATCCCCATAGCCACATAGTGCAGAATTAGGACGCTGATTGCTCCTTCACTCCTCATTTATCATCCTCCAACGTGTTTAGTGAGTGAGTGTGTGTGTGTGTGTGTGTGTGTGTGTGTGTGTGTGTGTGTGTGTGTGTGTGTGTGTGTGTGTGATTTTATAATAACAAACTGAAAAAAATACTTTATGCCCAATTATTTTCCCTATAATTATTTGAAGGAGTGTGTGTGTGTGTGTGTGTGTGTGTGTGTGTGTGTGTGTGTGTGTGATATAATAACAAACTGAAAAAAATACTTTATGCCCAATTATTTTCCCTATAATTATTTGAAGGCCCCTCTGGTTCCATACTTTGTACTTTCACTGTTACTAAATTGCTTTGTTATGTGACTAGACTTTGCAGATAATGAAAATCATTTAACCAGAAATGGAAGCTGATACATACTAAATCTTCAGAATCAAAAGCAGAATGGCTTATCAAAGGCATTTGGATTGTGCTGAATCTAATTTAGAGATTAGTCATGCTTCTACATAATTTGTGTAATATTAAAAGATGCATAGGATTTTGTGTATATGTGTGTATGTTCTTGCCAAAATGATCTTAGTGACCACCAGATTATATATTATATATTCAAAGGTAGTGCTCTCATATCTTCCATCTTTGTATTCTTAGCACCCAGCTTTACCCAACACTTTCCAGATGCTAAATTAACAGTGAGGAAATGAAAAATGTGCTCGATTTTTAAATACATTTATATACATTTAAAGACCTCCTCACAATTGCTTGATGATTACATCTCTTCAACCCTTTGTTACTTATTTTGCCCCAAAATACTTTGATTACCTTCTCACTGTCTTTCATGTTTTTTGTTTTTTAAATTGTTTTTGTTTTTGGTGTTGTTTTGTTTTTTTAATCTAGCAGGAAAGGCTTACACTACAATAGAATTGAGGAAACCATTTGTATTCTAATGACAAAGAGTAATATAATGTGACCTTGAACCTTAACTAGTAGAGGTTAAAGGACAGGAAAATGTTCCACTTTCTGAGTTATACTGCCCAAGCCACACACTGGAGTTTGAGCTGCAGTCCAACGTTAACAGGACAGGAAGGGAGCAGTGCAGAAGCTTTCAGCCCTTCTTTGGAAGTCTCGAATCCGAGGGGATGTTGAGATGCTGAGTACACACACCTTGAAACAGCGGTTGTGTTGTGGCAACTGACATTGCAAGTATGTCCTAGAAAGGGAAAATGTCCTCCTAGTCCTTCCAAATGCCTCATTTTCTCCATAATGTTTTAAAGTAAGATGTTAATCAAATGAGAACACAGGAGAAATGAGGATGGGGTTGAAAGGATTCCCAAATTGAGTAACTTGGATAAAGTTTTCTAATGTAATTCTATCCCACGGATTCTTATTTAATTCATCACATTTATTCAGTTTACAAGATAAATGAATCAGCTGTAATTGTACTGTAAAGTGGGAAAACTCTGGAATTGGTAGGGTTTGAAAATAGAAGTCCTGTGGTATACCTAGGTGAAAAGTTAAGCAGAACAAATGGAGTTGCTCTAGAGGTAGGAGATTTTTTTTCTTCCTCTTTTTTGGTCTGCTCTTGGTTCATTCATTCAAAAAATAGTTTTGAGCATTTACAATTTGTCAGGTCTTGCTCTAATAAATCTTGGTGAAAGAGCAATGAAAACAGATAGTCAAGGTCCCCAATTCTCAAAAAGCTTACAATATAATAGTGGGAGGAAAGCGATAAACAAACCAAAAAGCAAGTAAATAACTATCAGAGATAATTATGTGCTATGCAGTAAAGAGGATGATTTATTGGAGAATGGCTGGGTGGCTGCTTTAGATTGGGCGGTCAGGGAAGGTGGTGACATGAAGCTGAGCTTTGAAAGACAAGAAAGAGCCCGCCATTAGAAGCAGGCAGAACATTCCAGGCAAGGGAACGACTTTCACTTCAATTTGTGTTCAGGAGTGTAGAGGAACCCATAAGGAACTTTCAAATATAAAGAGCCTGGCACAGTTAAGTCACTGATAAAGAGAATGATAGAGGCTGCTATTTTCTTCTCTTCTGTCTCTCAAACACATCATCTCTCATTCCCCCATAAGCAGTGAGAGGACACTTCTCTGATTTTATACTTCTTAGTTCTTCTTTTTATTATTATGTTTATTATTTCTTCTTCTTATGAAGATGTAGCTGCACTTTGTCAGCCTAGAACTGGACTGAGGTGACAACGAAAATCCCTAATACCTTAGTATGAATGAGGAGATAGGACATGCCCTTCTCTTGAGACAAGGTTTGCAGGAACAACTGGGTGTCTAAGGGCAGGAGTGAAAGGAAGGAGGAAGATAGAAGGAAGATAGTAAAAGGCAGTTATTTTGGAAAGGCTGATTCAGCCTGAAATAATTTTACCCTTTTAAGATAGGAAATAATGATACTATTTTTTCCTTTAGAGACTGGAAGAAGAACTAGTAAGAATAAGAGTCAAGAGAGCTGTTGGTTTAGCATGTTAAAATTTTTAAACCATTTCATTATCATTCTCCCAGTCAAAAGGGCATGGACTTTTGCAGCAATGTATATATTATTGGCAGTAGACTGATATCTAAGCCTTCCTTTATCTGCTGACCTGCCCTGCTTCTGGCTGCAAAGAGACTTCCCATCACTTCACCCTTCAGTAATCTCTCTTTTGAGTTCTCATTTTGCTTCCTCCACAGGTTTATATTTTACTTTCCTTCCACAAGACAGGAGAAGAATATAAAAAAGGAAGAAATAAATGGGGTTTGAAAACAGCATATTGTTATTTATGTATTGTTTGGTCTGATTTAGGAGGTGAGCTCAGTGGGAAAACATGACCATGTTTTTCTATATGCTTTATAAATCACCTACTAAATTTGGCATTCACAATTTGGACTTCTACGCACATCCATGCCTTTGAAGGGCAGTTTTTTGGTAGGAATAAAGAGAATTAGGAATTTTCATACTGAGCCCTACATGAATTTTAACTCTGTAGGCATCATTTGCAGAGAAAGGGCAGCAACAGACTTACTTGGTGCACCCAGAACAAGGAAAAGAATACAACAAATAGCAATAAGTTAGGTTTATGCTTACTCCCTCCTTTTTCTCTCTGACAAGAAATGTGATTTAAGCACTGTGTTGCTTCCTTTGTACTGTGATAGTAGATTATGAATGTTAGCCTCTGAGTCACAGAAATAACTCTATTACTTTTTTCTTGTGCAGTGTTTAAGTGCACTTCATGGTCCCACAGCAAGTGGTAAGACATTCTACAAATCCAGCGTGCAGGGCATCTGGCACTTACCAAATAGCTTACGTTTAATTATGTTCAGTTTGTACTTAAGGGACACTGTCAGAAACAGAGACACTGGGATATGCAGAAACTGAAGTTGATGCCTCTGTGATATTGAGCCAGGAAACTCACCCTTGGACAGGTTCTATAGACTCAGCTGAAGGCCTGAGATGGGTGCAAGTCTATTGGTGAGGATTTCTGTTGGGTAATAGAGGATGAGAGCTGGACCTAGTTAGAGAAAAGAGTTCATGATATTTCTATCTTTTCATTTTAGTCTTGGATTTCTTCTTCTTCTCATAATCAGTATTGGAGCTATTTGAGATTTTAAAAAGTAAAGAAATTAAAAAAAAAATAGCACTTTGCCCCCAGGAATCTGACGAATCAAACACCATTTTCAAGTTAACTCACTACAAAAGTAAATATTTTAACTCCCATCATTTGTCCCCTCCTAATTGTTTCCTATTAGTTTGATTACAAATGATGAAGATGCACAAAATGCCATAAAGCACCCAAGTCTCCCCATTTATGAAAAGGAATAAAATCACAGGCAGATGAATAAAAATTAGAGCAAACCACAGTTTTTAACTGCTGACCATAAGAGGCAAATAAAATCTCATTTTTCCCTGATGTATGAAAAGAAATACATAGACATGTGTTAAGATTTTACTTGGCAGTCACCTGAAGTCATGAATAACCAATAACTTAGATGCCATTCTAAACTATTTGCAGATGACATTTGACAGCATTTCTCTGTCAATAGATATAACCTTTAAAACAATAAACAAACTTTTTCAGAAAAGGCCATGATAATGGACAAAGGAATGGAAGACCTCATACCAAACCAACAGAACTGGTTACCTCAAAGAGGCTGGGTTGGAAGAGGGGAAGCAGAGAGTATAAACTTTTCTTTAATTACCTCTGTATTGTTTAGATGGTTACATCAAGCATGCATTTATTTTGTCATTAAAACAAAATCCAAAATACAAAACGTATTACATCATAAGAAAATTGAAAAACTAATATATATTTTAAAAGTGTCAAAACATATTATTTTCTGCACAGTTAAATGGCAATAGGAAATGCAGTATGAAAATCATTAAGCGATGATCTAAGGATTTATTTAAACACACAAGGAATTGGGGGAAAAACGGATAAAACCTGATACAAGTAAATGATATTTTTAAGCTGCCAGGTTTTGTGTTTAGGTGCTTTTGCCTTTCCTTAAATTTTCTCATGAAGGAGGAATGACCCCTTTATTTGGATCTCAAACACTAAAGTCCATTTTTCCAGCATTTATTTCATATTGAAAATCTGACTCATAAGCAAACCATGATGTCACTCTTCAAACTCGTGCTTAAGCTACTTGTCCTCTTAATAACTATAAAATTGTTTGTCTTTTGTAGACATTCCCCACCCCCATTATACACACTAATATCACTGTAAAGCAGAGCTAAAAGCTGAGGAGCTGTTGAAACTCCTGAGATAAGAAGGGCTGTAAATGCCTGTTAACAGCTCCTCATGTTTGCTCTTCTGTGATTTACATCCAATTTATAATGGCCATTATAGTAGATACACTTCACTTAATCATGAGCACAGTCAAGTCCTCATTATTAAACACATTCGCCCTTTCTTTCCCAGGAGAGCAGGGCCCTTGTTTCATTAGAAGCACTGCAAATACATATTCAAAATGCAGAGATGAAAGAAGTCACCAGTGGCAATTAATTTTATGAGCTGGTGCTACAAGAGTATAAATCTCTTTTAAGGCTGCCATGTTTTAGCTCATTTTACCTGTTAAGCCTCTCAATGGAGCTGGTGCAGTGGTATTAAATGTTCGCCAGCAACTTTCACACTACCATATACAAACCTAGTAGTCCTACCGCCTTAAAAAAGAGGCAGGATAGACTACAAAATTAAGTGCAGGGTAGTAACTGAAAGATTTTTGAAACTGCACTACCAGATTGTCCAGAAGTCTATTTTTATAAAATTGTCTGTCTGTTTGTAAACTTACGGTGTTCTTTTGGCTTGTTTGTTATTTACTTAGTCTAATAATGTTCATGAAATCCTTTGGTAAACAATAAAGTGATGTACAAATGTAAGACATTATTGTAATTAGGATATCTTATAAATTCTAACATTTCTAACAAATGAGCTAACCACAGAGAGAAAATAATAGGCTGTTTAGCACTGGGGAAACAATAAATAACTCCTATCCTAGAGAAATCCTTCCTGCCCCAATCAAAAACATCACACATCATAGGGATATAAGGGACTTTCCCAGATTTTGGAGAATTCATTCTCATGGAAATGTGACCTTGTAGAGTATATACACATTCTATATGACTCTTACATTTTCACTGACCTCTGCCAGGGCAGTAACTCAAGGTCTGTTATGTTATGATAGAACCTTTTCAGTTAATTTATTTCTGCCCCCCTTTGACATTGTAATGGCTCCATTCATAACAACTCTCTGCTGTGTGGTGCCAATGGAAACAGCTCATGCAAGGTTTATCATCCTAAGAAAATAATGGAAATCAAACATGAAGGTGTTGTTCATGGAAATATGCAGTTCCATGGAATTCCAAAGCCAAGTAGGTTGTGTTGTGAAGGGCGCTCTTCTTCCTGATGTCACTCCCCTCACTGGGGTCTACACACTGAATTTCCATCCTCAGATTTTAGTCTGCCCCTGCTTATCTCAATCAGATCTCCTTACTGATACTTACATTAATAACATTTGGAAATGCTTTTAATAGAGGGCTCAAAGTAGGTCCCCGTTTTCCATTGCCTCTGGGGAGTGGCTACATCCTTGGCTATATACTGGAAGGCCACGTCACTCACAGATTATTTTCACAGCCGTAACCAGTTATAGCTTTTAGCAAAGGGCAGATTTAACCAAGCTTCTCATTTACCTTCTTTATTTTTAGGTATCTTTTATATTTTTGAAGGACTCCACTTGGCAGCAACGTCACATCAGTCAGGAACAACTTGCCTGCAGAGGGGGCAACTTGCCACATAGTTGAGTCCAGGCAAAAAGATTTTTCTAACCAGAGAGGAAATTTAGCACTAGGGTTATGGAAAATATTATAAAACCATGCAGCAATACTCACAGTTTTGGTTTGGCAAGCAGAGGTGGTGGCTCCTTAGTGGGTGAAAGCAGGACAGCTGGTGTTGGCAGAGAGTTATTACCATTAGCTTTGCCGTTAATCAGTCCATTTACTCCATGGCTGGGATAGACTCCGTTAGTTTCCCTCTCAGCAGAATTGAACTGCATTTGAAGGGCTGCCATGCTACGCCCTAACTCCGGACTGTTCACCTGCTGGATCTCAGATGGTTTCTTTGAAGCCAACTCAAAGGAACTTGCCTCCAAGATTGGAGGGGGAGGTGGAAAGTGCTGGAAGTGATCATTGTTGGATTCTCCCACTGGGTCATAGCTACAGTTTTCAGTGTTGGCTAAGATAGGGGAAAGGGAGAAAAAAATAAGATGCTAGTAGTTCAACACATTATTTTCACACTGTCATAGAGCTGAAAATCCTTTGTGTCCTGCTAAGCTGTTGAAGAGGTGGCTGTGCTGCTCTCCTTGGATGCACAGACATTGCCAGCTAGAGGGCCTGGTTCTTCCAAGCTTGTTTGGAGTGATTGCTACCTCTTTCATTTCCTGACAGAGCCCATATGTGGGAAAACCAGCTATCCATTCACTAACAAATTTCAAGTGAGAGCTAAAAGCAGAGCTTGGTAAAAAATGACAACACTAACAGTATCAACTAATAAGCTTTGTTCTACATTTCAGTCCATGGATCGACTGAACATCCTATCTGTCTTTACTGACATTGGCTCAAGTTCTAAAAGTTTAATGTGGGTATTTATTTTATTTTAGAACTAAGAAGGTGAAGCTCGGAGTCCAAGTAAAATGTCTCATGATCTCATAGAAATTGTTTTTCACATATCTGATGATTGCCCCAACCGTAACTCAAAATAAAAGGGATTTTTACTTGCTACCCTCAATAGGCTGAAAAGATCTCGAGATCTTGTCTTTTTTGGATTCCTCACCTTGTACAGAGCCTAGAGCTTCTGGCATGTACTCAAAAATGCTTATGGAGGCAAATGGAAAGCTCAAAAATATTTGTTGACTATGTTTGGCCTACCACAGATTTATCCCAGATAAAAATGGGAAACATCACACACCAGTTTGTCCCACTCAGGCTTATAGAGTCCATGGTTTAGGTCATGCTGTTTGAGCACTGCACTATTGCTATGGCCACTGGATGGGACAGTCTTTAAGCCAACTCAAAATCAAAATGCTGGGATCTTCACACTCTGTAACTCCAGTTATGACACTGGGCTTTCCTTTGAATGCTTAAAGTACTCATTCATCAACCATTTCCCCTTTAAGGTGTTCTTTTCTTAATTAAGATGAAAAAGCATTTACAATTGCCACTCTAATGTCCCTAAACCAGTTTTGGTTGTGCCTCTGCTGCCACCTAGCACCAGATTCTTGCTCGTCAAAGGAATCAAAGTGCCTCTAATTGTCCTCTCCCAGTCTGCCTCACACAACCAACGACCCATGTATTGATTCCCTGCTATGTGTATTACTATGTGCCAGGCTTGGTCAAAGAAATATTTTAAAAATGTCTGTAAGATGAATAACAGAGATGAGGCAATTAAAGTAGCTAAAGCAAAGCTCATTAGTAGTAGTAGAAAATAGTCAACTAAAGTAAAAAAAAGCTGTTTCATATTGCCTTTCCTAGTGGTACATTTTTGAGTTTAGAAAATATCCATTTATTTTTGAATACTGGTTTCAATAATACAATATATTGCTTTATTTTTCATATCAGAGTTATATATTAACATTGATAGATATTATCAATGAAATTTGATCTCTAAGATCATTACAGCTTCTCTGAATTACACTTGTATACTTGTATTACACTTTATCTTTACTACAAGATAAATACACTTGCATTACCTTTTCAGAAGCTTCAGTAGTGGATCAAACAAAAATTTATTTGTACAAGTATCTCCAGATCTCATGTGTTGTCACTGTTGAGAGCAGTGACTGCATGTTTGATGTGAATATGATTCTAGGTTAGCATGAGGATGTTAGGAAAACCAACTACATTGTTTCCAAGACCAAGCCTGCATGATTAAAAAAAATATAGCCTCATGTGTGTTCAGCTGCTACATTATCATTACCTTTTTGTTTGTCATCTCCACTTCCATTCCCTCTCGCACCCCTCCCCCAAAGCCTTTTGTTTCATGGTGAAACATCCATTGTTGGGATAACTCCTGGAGTGGCAGTGGCAAACATTCCTAAAGGCTGAGCCCTCTCCCTGGGATAGCTCCATTCTGTAGTGGCGAACCACGCTGGTGTCAGGGAACAGAGCCCAGTCATTTTTTACTCCTGACATACCTGAGGTGACAACCAGCTGGGCAGTGCTGGTTACTGATCCATACTCGTTTCTTGCCGAGCACATAAAAATCCCTGCATCTTCAGGGAAGGTCTCAGCAATAACTAGGGTACAAATCTCCTCTGGAAATGAAGAGAACAGAATAATTCATCAGAGTTAAAACAAGAAGTCACTTTGAAGAAGTCATACCCTCTGCTTTTCTACAACAAATTTAGGTAATGATTATTACAGAATCGCTTTACAAAAGTGTTCACAATAGAATATCTTTACATTTAATTCAGCAATTCAGTCTAGTGAAAAAAAGCTTTGGAGTTAGACCCATTCTTTGTGATTTTAGACAAAAGCAGTATTGGCTTCCTTGTCTATGAAATGGGGATATTTTATACTTAATGAGATATCTCTGAAGATGAAACAAGGTGTTTGCAAGTATGTAACTCTGATCTTTGCATGTGGAAGATGCTCAGTAGATGTAGATTCTCCTACCACCTACTTCAGTTGATTGTATGTGGAAGTTCTTTCTATGTAATACAGCTGCCTCAACCCCAGTTAGTGAGAAAAATAAAGCTTCTCTGAAATGCTGACAACGGGGAAAAAAGAACTTAATCTGAAAATGTTTGACTTGCAGACAATTATTCCAGAAGATAGTGTTACATGCTGTGGCAGTGCTGGCTAGCACGAAAAGTCCAGACTCGAACCAGCTGCCATGGCTTACATAAGAGTCCTGCCACATCTTGCCTTTGTGACTTTGGCCAACCTGCCTGAATGTCAATGTTCTTATCTGTAAAAGGGAGACAATAATTGAACCTACCTTATAGTGTTTGTGTTAGTCAAGACACATAAAACTAACCATCACAGGGTTACTGTGAGGGATGATGACGATGATGAGAACAGCTATACAGCCATTAATACACAGTAGCTACTGTGATCAGCTCTCAACAGAGACTAATTTAGATTTAATCTTCATGTTAATCTTACAAGTTATGCAAGTTTATTATATTATTAGCCCATTTTATAGATAGGTAACTGAAGTCCAATAAGGCTAATTGATTTGTCCAAGGTCACACAGCTAATAAGTGGTAAAATGAGGATTCAAACCAAGTTGGGCTCCAGACTTCATACTCCTAACAACCACCTATTCTTGTGATATAACATATTGTGCTTAGGACAATGCCTGGCACATAGTAATACTTTGTAGTCAGCGAATGTTAGATGTTACCATGAAAAGGAAGCTATATCTAAAGCATACCAACTATTTTTAGGTTGAGAAATTGTGTATATTGTACAAATAAAATAAAGGTGATTATTTTGACAAACCTTAAGAGAAGAAATATACTCCGGTTTCCCACAAAGCTATTCTAAAGATTAGCCACATATTGTTTGAGCAGTGTTAAGAACTTGTACTGTAGATTTTTTTGTGAAAATGGCTGCAATTATTCCCTTCTTTGTATCCATGCCCCTTTGTAACATGACTCTGCAACTCCTTTCATCAAGTGGCAGAGTATTTCCCCATCCCTTGAATCTGGGCTGGCCTTGAAAGGTGCTTTAATCTGGAATGTGGTGGGTGATATTGTTGGCCAATTCTGACCCAAAGCCTCAGAGGCTTGCCCACTTATGCTCTGTCTCTTGGAACCCTGATGAACCCTTAGGTGAACAAGGCTGTGCTAGACTGCTGGAGGAAGAGACCACATGGAGCAATCAAAAGAGACCATTCTAAACTAATTGACTCATTTCTAGCCAACCTGGAGGATTGAGGGAGGCCACACTGAGGGAGTCCAGCTGAGGTCAGCTGACCTTGGTGCAGGCCACAATCACTGCCCATCTGAGGCCAAGCCAAATGTTTACACAGAATTATGAACTAAACAAATAGTTCTGCTTTCAGCCACTAATTTTTGGGGTGCTGTACAGTAGTAATAGCTAACTGAAATAATTTGATAAAATAAACATTCTTCTTTGATCTCTTTTTTATTTATGTAACTAATTTACTTATTTCTGGTGAGTGGCCAGTGCAGGGATAGAACCCTGGAACTTGGCGTTATTAGCACCTTGCTCTAACCAACTGAGCTAACTGGCCAGCTGAGACCTCTTTCTAAGAGAAAACTTTTTAGACTTGTAGAATAATGCTTCCTTCCCTTAATTTGACCATTGATAATGAAAATTAGCAAGTCTGTCTCAAAACACATTGTATGTTTTAAACACTGGGAGAGAAAAGTACTAACTGTGGGTAGAAGTGATACTTGGTAAAAAAAAAAAAACATTTTTGTCTGTTAAAGAGGTCTTTAAATATTTTTTTACGTGTAAATAAAATTAATAAATGCAAAAGGAAGCAAAGTAAAGAATAAAATATAAAACAAAAGTGAAAGTCTCCCTTTACAATCCAGCTCCTTCTATATCCAATACTCCTTAATAATCTCCCTCCCTAGAGAGAAACCTAATTAAAAGAGTTTATTGTATTTTAGTCTAGAAAAAATTTAATGTATCTGTCATTTCAAAATGTATCCAAATATTATCAAACTATATAGTTTTTGATGCAGCATTACTGGGTCACATACATATAGCTTTTCACTACCATGTACTATGGCCTAAGGCATCGTTGAGTTTTACTCCATTTCTCACTCCATTCTCGGGGTGTTATCTCACCCTTGTGCCTTACCCCATCCCCATTCCTGGTGATGCTGATGATAATCTGATTAAAAGACTGCTTGAGGTTTTGTTAAAAGCTAAAAATGCAAGGATTCTTTCATGTCAGAATGTTATGTTCCTCAGGAAAGATCTGGGGACTGAAGTGATTATAAGCTTTTAGGATTTCAGCAATGTAGTGTAGCTCAAGGTGAACATACATGTATAAAACTGCAAGAATTATGAAAATACACCTTATCTTTCAGCATATTATTCAATTTGATGTTTAAATGAGGTGTGAAAAACTAGGTTCAATGTAGAACATAAAATGAATGAGTAATAGAGCTTAATAAAGACAAATTAAAGAAAATGAAGTTATTTAGTTAAAAGTAAAGGCAATGACAGAAGGACAAATACTGCAAGATTCCACTTATGAGGCATCCAAACAAGTCAGACTCTTAGAAGCAGGAAGTTGAATGGTGGTTGCAAGAGATTGGGGGAGAACGTAAGGGGGAGTTGCTATAAAATGAGTGAAGAGTTTGAATCATGTAAGATGAAAGAGTTCTAGAGACCTGCTGTACAACACTGAGCAAATAGTTAACAGTACTGCATTGTACACTTAAAAATTTAAGAAGGTAGATTTCATGTTTTTTCCACAACAAAGAAAAAAACATAAAGGGCAATGTTAAGTATTCATCCATTTAAATGCTAATTTAAGTAAAACTCTATGACAGTTACTATAAATGTAAAGAAATTAATGTAAGGAAGAAGTTGCTCAAAGGATTTTTGAGATAAAGTCTGGAGCCTCTTTCTATAAACAGCTTCTAGAAGGTTTTAGAATTCATCCATCTACTTGCTAAGTATTTTTAAGAGTAGCTGTCTTAATATTCTGTAGCTGCAGATATAAAGATAAATAACTCATGGTTCTCCCACTCAAGTTGTTTGTAATCTTTTTTAAGGCGGTGATACACATCCTCTTATAAGGACTTGAGTTAGAAAGTCTCCAGTCCATTTCAACTGCAAAAGTTTACACCCTTAATGCCCACTCCTCTCTTACGTTCAAAATTGTGCTGTCTTAAAAAGGCAGTTAATTGCAAGTGAAAGCGTTCGCCAGAAAGTGCCATTTTGAAAAAATTTATTGAAATATAAGAAGAAAGTAGGATGTATAATATAGAATTAAGATTTTTAGGGAATTAAAAAATTCCTGGTGCTTATATTTATTTTAGACTTCTGGAGAGATTAAAATTCTAGTCGATTATGCAGTATCTTTTAAATTGATCAAATATTAGCTATACTGTAATTATCATATAGTAACCAAAGACAGGATCTTTTCTGCCCTTTTTTCCCATTCTTTTTGATAGCTTTGCAACCCTTCCTCTGGAACTATCAAAGTCCTATTTTCTATAAAAACCAAACCAAACATAATTTCCTGAATTGTCTTCTTTTTCCTTTTTATTAACTTAAGATTAGTCTCTACTTTATTTTTAACTTGTAAATCTTATAGTTTTTTTTTACTTAAGATTAGTCTCTACTTTATTTTTAACTTGTAAATCTTATAGTTTTTTTTTACTTAAGATTAGTCTCTACTTTATTTTTAACTTGTAAATCTTATAGTTTTTTTTTACTTAAGATTAGTCTCTACTTTATTTTTAACTTGTAAATCTTATAGTTTTTTTTTACTTAAGATTAGTCTCTACTTTATTTTTAACTTGTAAATCTTATAGTTTTTTTTTTTCCCCTTTTTGTCTTTTTTTGTGTCCGGCACCGGATCGCAACCCTCAGTGTCGCGCCCGTACTGGACCAGGCCCGGCAACGGGATTGCAAACCTCGGTGCTGCACCTGCACCTCGCTCAGCCAGTGAGCGGGAACCGGTCTGTATGTGGGATCCGAACCCTCGGTGGGAGCGCCCCCGCGCTCCTAAGCGGCGCACTGTAGCAGTGCGCCACCGGGCCGGCCCTAAATCTTATAGTTTTTTAAAATAAGATAATACAAATACAAGGTACAAAATTTGAAAAGTGCAAACAAGTACTATTACAGTTCTCTACTTTTTAAATAATTATATTGAAACATTTCATGAGGCTTCAATTTGACTTTAAAATGAAGACATACATTTCAGCTGATCTCTGTACATTATAACTCGTTAGAAAGAGACAACAGGAATATCCAGTTATATAAAGGGATAGGTTATATATGTATACATTTGTGCATTAGTGTATGAAAAGCACAAAAAATACAACAATCTTAAGAGAGCTCAATGGTATTTATTTCAATTACAAGATACTTTGAGTTCTTAATAATGTTATTGCTTTGCTTTAAATAAAAGATAATTATTTGCCTTTTTACTGAAATGCTGATTGTCTCAGAAGACTTCCTGTGCTAGCAATAGTGAAAAATATTGGCTAATTAAAACTGGAACACTTTTTTTGGGCAATATATTGTGACCATGCTGGGTTATATTCCAGTAGGTAGTTTTATATATGGCAACCCTGGGCCTCATCAAGTTTCC